TTTTTTTCAAAAAAGGATCTATTGTGGTGCAATATCTATGCTATCCTACCTTTGAAATTTGAATGCTTACAGTGCTTTGTGCATACTGTGCTACAGCTCGACCTCCTTTCCATTTCAATTTTGAGGGTCTCTATGTTACAGTTATATCCCATTACTTGAGTTAAAGACAATTCAAGAGCTTATCACGAACTCTGGCTTTGAAAAGAAGAATATTTTCTCACCTAATTGTTAGCATTGACTTGGGTGATAATATATTAATGGCTTAAGATATTAGAATCTGTTGGCGAAACATCATGCGGTGCCAGTATCATACATCAACTTTCTTGTATTATACTAAATTCAAGTTTTTCCTCACCTTAAAGTTATGTCTTCTACATCAAAATTAAAAAAAATTCATAAAAATTTACCATTACTTTGTTTATTAACCACCTCAAAAAAATTATTCTTTTCATTGTGGACGAAGTAATTTTATTCTATCTTTAAATAAAAACACTATTAAAAGATTTCAGTTTCAACTCCATACTCTTTCTTTTCCACCTCTTTTGTAGTTGTAACTTATAAATAATTATCCTTGTTCAAAGGAAAAAAAAAAAACCATCTCAAAAAAATCAGACATTGATAGAGAACGAACTCTTTGTTAAATAGTTATCACCTCTTAGTTTATTTGCCCTCCCTAATTACATAACACGTTATTGTCACGAGAGATTTAATCCTAATTACATATCATCTAGAACATATCTTTATTGAGAAATTTAATTACAAATATGTAGATATTCCCAAAAATTAATAGGGGTAGATAGATTTGATGAGAAAAAATTGCTATTAAAACCGGGCAGTTGTACTTAAGAGGCTTAAACTAATTACTAGATGATTAAGTAGTACAGTACAGGGCCCGCGAAAATTTGTGGAAGATCCGAAAGCACAGAGCAACAAAAACAAAAAGCAGCCTTTGCATGTTTGCAAGTTGCAACGCCTTTACTTTTATTTAACCCAACCGACATATCCAGTGCGTAGTCGTCTATTGGCCATCCAATACGAAAATTGATTGAACAACTAAAATTTGGATTTTATATCAGGTTTACCCTTTTTTTAAATTCTCTATTATATATAAAAAAAAAACCCAACCGACATTTTAAAAAAATCTAGAAAATAAAGAGAACGAAAATACTATAATTTTATAAAATAATATAAGAGGGTAGTGTTTATTTATTTACTTTTTAAAGTATGAATTAAAATGTTTTTTATGATATTTTATTAAAATGATATAATTTTAAAATAATTTTTTTCTTTATTTTTAAAAGATAAATTGAATAAACACT